CGCGCTTCCACTAGTGGTGTGTGCACGCGCTTCCACTAGCAGAGTTTAAATGCCTGACTGGCACAAACGGGGCACTTCGGCACTTAAAGGTTAAAGTATGCAAAAATAATCTTACAGAAGTATCAGTATTTTACAGTGTTGAGGCTGGACTGTAGTGGTGGTGAATTTCTAGTCACATCTGCGTAAGGTAGTAACATAAGAGTTAACTGACATCTCTACCCTATTTGCAATAGGAGAAAATGTATGTAGTTTATAATACAATAATGTGATGAATTTTGCAGATTTTCAAAATGTTCACGCTTATCAGGTAAGCTCTGCTTTAACAGACTGGTAAAACTTGTACTAAAATTCTAGCACATTTCCTCTCTTGAGTGTGACAATAACTCTCCATTAATAGTTGTTTTGGTCACACATGAGAAGTATCATATAAATTCTCAAAAGGAAGTTCTTTCTTCTGTCTAAAATGACAAAACTGAAGATCTGTTAATCTTATGAACTGACATTTTTATTCATACTGTTCTGTGTTATGTTTAGATTCCAATATATTTTTTCTGTCTTAGTTTAAATTGAAGATCCTTCAGCTTGTTCAAAGGCTTCGTAATTGCCATTATGTTTTGCAGAATATGCAGGAAACTTGGGAGATGCAGGAGACACTGAATGGAGAGAACTGGAGCAGCAACACATTTTGCAACTTGTGGATAAGTTCTAGACACTGGAGTGATGTGAAGCTCTGTAATATCAGTGCTCATTATTCTCAGAATATGGAGTCTCTTCTCTGACTTGTGAAGGTTTGTGTAATTACAGTTTTAAGTGAACCATTGAAGTTTGGTGTTTATATTACTTTCCTCAACCTCTTCAGAATATTACATTTGTTTCAGTAAAATATTTTTGTTAAAATTAGATGTGATGGATCCCAGCCAGTGTGCTGTATTTAGAACTTCCTTGCTTGTATACATTATGTTTTCATCATTGTGTAATCCCAATTTTGTTCAGAGTGGACTGGTTTCCTGTCAGTCATCTGTTCCTCTTAGATGACTGACCTGTGTATAGGTCTTTTAAGTCTATTTACATGGAAAATTCTCTAGATAAAACAGAAGTAATACATGTTTTCAGATAGGATAAGAATGAGATGTAAAGACTGGCAAAATAGTTTGGATTGCTGTTGCCAAATGGTAACGATTGAATGATTGGCACTCTTTCATATTGAGAGGTCCCAAGTTCAGATCTAAGCCTTATGCTCTTCATCGCTCCCACCAGGCAAATGCCAGCCTAGCTCTAGACATATAATGTAATTGATAGCATCACTAAGTAAGCCAAGAATGAATAAATATACCAGGAGCACTGTCAGTATAGCGACTGGCTACAGGATGGATGTCAAAGTTTGAGCCCTGGTAGGGTCAAGAATTTTCTCTTCTCCAAATCGTCCAGACCGGCTCTGGGGTTGACCCAACCTCCTATCCAATGGACTATTTCCCTGGGGGTAAAGCAGCAGGGGCAAGAAGCTTTCTGCTCACCTCCATCTAGTGCTGAGGTCAAGAAAATGTTGATCTACACATCCACTCCCCCATACACCTTCATAGCATAGTGCTTAATTAGTTGAGCACAGGGACAACTTTACCTTTTATAAATAAATATACATAATGCAGCATTACTGGCAGCAGCATACAACTATCAGAGATGACAACATATCATTTGTCATGTTTGTCTTCAAGATATACTGTCTGATGTAATTCACATTGTTATTGAATTTGTTATTGCTTAATGCAGAGGCTTTTTCCTCTTTAGTAAATCAGATTTCTGTTCTGATTTCCTGAAGATTGTTTCTGTGGTTCAGCAGTTTTATATGACATTAAGAAAAAAACTTGAAAACCAACACCTCTTTTATTTTATAACAATGGCAATTTGAACAGAGGAAGTACTTTACAGTGTAATATACAAAAATTGCACTGCATATAAAATGTTATCCCAAATATTAAGTCATTATGTGTGTAGTCATAGCCTGTACAAAACAACAGGGGGGAATGCTGATAATCTCTTCTCAACTGCTGTTATATCTTCAGTGTTAAATGATGGTATGTCTTGAGTGTGATGTACCAGTGAACAAATACAAAGAGAATATGCAAAAAGTAATACATACTGGACAACTTTAAAACAAACTAATTCCCGATTATGGACACAAGCTTATATGTGCTTTATACATGTGGCATACATAAGAACCTTTTATTAGGGATAACAGTAAGTTGGATACTTTCATATAAAATCTAGAAATTTGATATATGGAACCAATGGTAGCAATATGTAAATAAATCTTATTCACTGGTATCACATACCAAGTTTTGGTGATATGTGGAGTTTAGTACAATTCAAAAATTGTTTACCATACTACTTCGCACAGATCCTAAATGTAACACAAGTAGAAACATTCGTTGTTTGCTCTTATGTGGGTCGATGGTCTGAAAATATAAACATGAATGTAATGGGGGGAGGGGCTTAAGAAAACCTGTCATACGACATGGTTTTTGTAAAATGCTGCATCGTGAAAAAAGGAAGTGATGTCTTTACATTTTCTCTGCTAGTTGGGAGTAAACCTTTCATGCAAGGTAAGATAAAGCCTGCATTTACAGTTGAGGTTGTGAACCTCTCCATGACTGTTGAGCACCACCAAAGTTCATATGAGCATATCCTGTAGAATACCCTACACTGCCATACAGTTCTGATCCTGGAGAATGGCTACCCTGTAAGATATAAAAAAGAACAAAATAAAAATTATCAAATGCTGTTTGTATATAAATTGTTTCCTTAGAGATTTCTGGGTTACTGTTTTGGTGGTGTGTGTAAGAACTTCTGAAACACAAATATACAGTATTCAGAATGTTAATCAATACTGCTCCTAACTATGTCCCAAACTTCATGTTACTTGTTATTAAATGGGATAGAGAAACTGAAGACGGAGGCAGCAGGTTCTTCAAAATGCTGGTACCTGTTTACCGGACTACATAGTATCAAATTCTGGAAGACTGTAATCTTAATATTCACTACTGTGACAACCTCAGGTCTTGCTCTCCCCCTCTCTTTGACAATGAACCTGAAGATATATATTACAGTGTTCACAAGAGCCCTCCATCAGTATTAATTACCCTCCCACCTATGTATCGGTCTTCCTAGTGGTCTCTTTCCTTCTGGCTTTCCCACCAAAATCTTATATTCAATCTGATACATCATACCACTGTAAAAAATATCATATATGTCAGGAATATGTATTCACGACATTGACTGAAGTGAGTTTTCATCAGTGGTATGTATATGAAAATGAATAAGGTTCGCAAAGCTTAATCCATCTGTTCTGTGAGAGAAGCTGGTGGATTTTATTATGAACTATGCATTATGTATCACATACAGTGCGGGCAGTCAAATGATTTGCTTTCAAAGGCACTGCACATAAGCTGCAACCCAGTCTTAAAAACAAATTGGGAAAAGATATAGCTTATATATATATATTTCAAGGAGATGAAAGAGAAATTAGACGTGTGTCTTCATTTTTGTGTATATTTTGCATCATTTCATGCTAGAATAACAGTAAAGCCACCGGAAAGAGAACATAGACTGGATATGGACAGAATTCTTCCATCTCACAGATCTGGCAGTTAACATTCTTCTTGTAGAATGGAAACCCCTTTTATTGCATCGTTCTTAGAATGTTAAAGAGTTTTAGTTAAGTTTAGTTGGGTGAGTCGACTGAGCTTGGCTTCTGTGAATGAAAGTGAAAAAATTACTTAACTCACCTGCAGGAATCTGTTCAGCTCTTCTTGAGTATCAAAGATCATAACAATGAACGGTGAGCCAGGAACCAATTCTCCAGCCCACTTCACCTCTACTCGGTAATCACCTGGCTCAGTTGGATCAAACTTGCAAAGAATAGTGCGATCCTTCTGACTTTCACGTTGCATCTCCACTCTAAATGCACCTACAGAAATGAGAGTACCTTATATATTCTTTCTCAGACTTGCACTTAGGAGTACTGAAAGAAAAATTCCAATTTCCATACTAGAAACTGAACCACAATATTGAACATAACCATGTAAAACCACATTCTTATTCTTCCACCCTGAGGATGGAGGTGACATCCTCTGAACATCAGTTGACTTTCAACGGACTACACGGCATTATTTCACAGAAAATAGAACACTTTAAGATCATATTATTCAAATGGGGGAAAGAAAATATATTTTCTTGTCTGAATATCAATTACTTGTAGTTTCTTTTGTATATCCTCTACTAGCCTTATAATCATGCGGTTTCTGCCCAGTAATTTCTGTCAGAAAATGGATCTCTGGTGCATCTGCTTCATTTTTTGTTCAACATGTTGATCCATATAACAGGCGGTACTGCAGTAACTTACAGAATTTAAGTAGAATTTCCTTCCACAGCTTCTAAAGACATAGTTACAAATTTAAGTACAAAATATTGGCCTGAGAAGGATGAAATAAATGATTTATTTAGGATGGTACATAACAAGGAACTTCATGCTAGATTTTAGATTATTACAGTGGTATTGTTTTCTGGGATGTAATGCTGTATAGTTTGGCAGAAGTTCATGTTTTGGAAGGACATACTGCCTCCATCTACAGGGTTAAAGAATAAGCCACGTAAGAAGCAAACAGCAGGCAGATTCAGCTGTCTGCAAAAAACTACAATCTGATATAGACCTTAAGGGAATTCTGAGGGAGCCAATGGGAGCAGACTCTTTGCAAAGGTGTGTTTTGCTACATGAAGAAAAGTGAACCAACTGGAGAGAAGAGGGGGGGGGGCATTGGAACAATTTATTGGAAATTGGTCTTCTTCTCTTTTGTGAAGTATACTGTTTCAGTTGATTGTCTGTCTGGACTGCTAAAAGTTCGGCCATCTCTCGGCTAACTGCAGACAACCTCCCCATTGCTTGTGGTGTGGGAGTGGCCACCTGCATGAGGAATGCCTGGAAAAAGGCAAGGAAACATCTACACTGGCATGCTGCAACTGCAAGCTGACGTACAGAGAGAAACCCCATCTATCCAATTCTGTGTGGCCATGCAGAGGACAAAATGTGTAACAGGGAGTCGCAGAGAGCACCCAAGACCACAACGATAGGTGTTCTCTTCCAGTTACACCACCCTAGATCTGTCCTTCACAGTGGCACTGCAAAACAACGTGGAGCAACAGCAGTGGCCTCAACCATGCCAGGCTGCAGTGGGAGGTCCAGCCACAGTGGAACGACCGAGGGTCCAGGCTCCTTTGCAGCACCATCAGCAACAGGAAACAGGTCAGTCAGTTTGGGATCCTAAAGTAAACAGTTTGCCTCTGGACAACAAGTTGAGAGTAGCAACTGTAGTACTGCAGATTGTGATGGAATTCAGCTGTGCTGTGTCATAGGAGGCAAAAATAGTGGCCATTACAAAAATTATCTTAAATATAATGAAACAAAATGGCCACAAAGATTTCATAGGCCCCTCAAAGTTTTAGCATTTAATGTGAATGGTATTGGGAGGCAGTGCTATCTAAGTAAGCAAATGCAGGATTTACTCATAGATGTGGCCCTGATTTCAGACATGCATCTGAAACCCTATGAGAGGTTTTTTATTCCAAATTACAGTTTTTATCAAACTGACTAACTGACTGCTACCATTGCAGAAATAAAATAATTATCATTGCAGTTAGAAAAGGCATCCCTGACAACCGTGTAAACTTACTCCCCCTTGTTTCAGTAGAAGTGATGAGTCTGCATATCTACAGGCAGTAGCAAAGTACTACAGGGTAGTTCATAAGTCCCTCAGGGATTTCTGAACTCTGCGGTACAGTAGGCGGGATGGTCATGACAGGGGGGGGACTTCAGCAGAAGGAGAGACACTCGAGTTTCTGCCCTACCTTACAGGTGCCAAGGCACATATTACCCAGACAAACATGGAGACATTCTCTACCTATTGATATGCTCCTTTCTGTTGTGTCTGTCTTGGTTGTTACACTGCCGAGATCGGAAGTTCCAGAGGAACTTATGAATTACCCTGTACTTGCAACCGTTTATAAAGCTCAAGTCATGCAGACATCATTGAGCTCTTGAGCTTTAAACATAGGACTATATTGGCGGGTGATGTGAATGCTTAACATCCATTTTTGAATCCTGCTGTTTCAAACATGAACAAATTTGAAATGTCAGTGCCACATTGGCCCAACTCATTAAGAAGAATGCTGTTTTCTGGGATGTGGTGCTGTGTAGATATTGTGTAAACTGGCGTTTCGGAGGAACGTATTATTTCTGTCTTCAGGGTGTAAAAAATCCGAGAGCGAGGAACTAACATGAGCAGGTGGCTGCAGACTGATTTGCCAGTCAAAAACACCCATGCATTATTCACCTGTAGGAAATTTTGACTAGTTGTATATTGATATGTTGGGTTTTTGGACTTTATCCATCGTCCTGGTTTTTAAGATAACAAATAAAAACACGAAGTTTCCGAAACGTCGTGTTTTTATTTGTTATCTTAAAAACCAGGACGATGGATAAAGTCCAAAAACCCAACATATCAGTGTGTTATACACCATCGTCAGAATCCTGTAGTAACTAGTTGCATATTGTGGTCCATCAGACTATCAGAGTGTCAGATATCATTGCTTCTGATATTCTAGACTAAGACCATCTACCAACAGTATTCCCCATACTGGATCATCTCAAAACTAAGAATCTTTCAGAACCTGTTGAAAAATCCACATATTGAGAACGGTTTCAGAGCCTCGCCTCTGCTTTAACATCGCCTATAATCAAAATTAACTCTGGTAGAAGCTGATAAAGCAGCACATGACTTTACAGCCTCAATTGTTTCAGCATATAAGTTGCTGACCACTAAGGTTACCCTTTTGTACCTAAACAACGATCTCCCTAGCTTAGATCATTTGTTAAAGCAAAAGCAGAGACTAGAAAAACTGAGGCAGGAAACCAGTGTGTAAAATAGCAGTTAACTGTGTTGCAAAATCTGTCAGACAAACGGCCCATAGAAAGTCACCTGAACAGTGGGAAATAAAGATATATATTTCTGAGGTCATGTTATATGGCCCTCTGTGAAATCCCTCATGAAGAGGGATGGACCAAAGGCACCAACTGCTATTCATGGTCCTTTAGGCTTTAAATTTCATACATTAAAGAAGGCCACTGTAACTGCTGACTGCTTGGAAAATCAGTTCACACCCCATGAACTGTGTGATGAAAACCATGAACGGCAGATGGGGGCTACAGTTCAAGCTTTGCTCAAAGCTACAGACAACTCCCCCCCCCATCAAAGAATAAGACCAAATGAAATTAATAAATTCTTTGAAATTGAGAAGGGTTTGTGGAATTGATGGCATTCCAGATTAATGCCTCAAACATTTCCCTATGCCTTGGAAAGAAGCAAAAATGATAAAACTAGGTAAGGACCCTAATTCCCCAAAAATTTATGTCCGATTAGAGTCTTATCAACGATGAGTAAGTCATTTGAGAAGGTCATACTAAAAATAGTCCAAAGGTACACTGAAGAGGCCTATTTAATGCAGATAGTTATAGTTAGATAATGTAGATAGTTAACAGTTTTGACCATTTGAGGCACTCTCTCTGACGATAGGACAGGTCTGTCATTTGTCAGAGTCACGGTCATCAGAAATAAGTGAACTGTTCATACGTACATAATGTTTACAGTTTACAAGTTATGGTATAACACAATCCTGTCAATTCAGGCTGAGAACAGGATTGTGTTATACCATAACTTGTAAACTGTAAACATTATGTACATGAACAGTTCACTTATTTATGATGACCGTGACTCTTGACAAATGACAGACCTGTCCTATCGTCAGAGAGAGTGCCTCAAATGGTCAAAACCGTTAACTGTCTAACAGTAACTAAAATCTGGTCCAAGACTGACTGTTGGTCACAAGGAAACTCTGACATGGAGAGAAGTCATATGGAAGGTTAGAACTTAGAGAAATGAGGGAAGGCTGCAGAGAATTTGTATAAGTGGGTTGTAAGCAAGAAGCAGGGGATAATAAGGGGCAAGATAACAGTGAAGAGAAGTAGATTCTAAAGGGTTGTGACGATGGTGGATGACACACAGAATTACTGAGGTTTTGGACTTTTTCCATCATCTGGAATTCCTCTGTTACCTAAAATTCTGGAAAATGAAAAAAGTCCAAAACCTCAGTAATTCTCAGTGAAAGGGAAGCCAAGAAGGAAGCTACTGTGAAAGGGCAGAAAGGAAGGCTCATGGAATGTGATGCCCTGATAGAATTAGTACCCTGATACAGGCAATGTGCCCAGGCCTGTGGGTCTGGTGGAGTAACATCCTAGAATCCTACATTCTTTGAGAGCGTAGATGAGAGGTTTCCACGACTTGCTTAGACAGAAGCAGTCCTTCCTGTTCATGCTGTTGGGCTGGTGCTTGAAAATCCAAAAGATTCTACTTTGACACTACAGCTAGAAGCTAATGCAACAAGCATGTTCAAAACCAACTTGTACTCAAAACACAAAGTGTCTGTTAACTTATTTTTATTTGTTTAAATATAAGAAATTTCTAATGTGAGTGAAAGATTGTAATATGGACAGCCTAAGTCTGAATTTCAGCTAGTATGATAGGAATTGGTCCCCTCACTACCACCCCATTCAAGATGGTTATGAAATACTCTACCAAGTACAGGTGTAGTTGTAGTGTTACAAACCTTTAGGTCCCCTGATCCTGACAGTGAGTTGTCCTGCTCCAGCACCGCGAGTGTCACAGATGAAACGAGACTGGAATGTGGCCAAAACTCCATGTTCTATACCTGGCCCATACACTCGCACTTTACTTGGATCTGGAGCTCCAGCAACACGTAACGAAAATGGGCTGCCTGGCACATGGTCACCTGATGTACATAACCAATTAAAACTTAGAAATTCAAAGGAACCTTATCAAAGTAATGATCTATGCCCTGGTATTTTTACCCATGGGTTATTTAACAACACTTTCAGTGACAGACATTGCTCTTGACCACTGCATCCTATAGCATAAGTAAAATTAGGATTAAATTCCATGAGTGCAATGTGTTTTAATAATAAAATAAAACATTCACACATTTTGGCAAATAATGGCTATCACTGGAAGCTGCCCAACAGTATAGAGGAAATGCTTCAAATGTATTACATGCATGCATTGTCTTGTAAGCATTAAAAACAGTTGAGTGGAATCTAGCTGTGAAGCCCAGTGATAGCTGCATTTCTTCACAGTAGGTTGTCTGTACTGTGTCGGTCCTGTGTGTGGTGCGGGCAACGTTGTGTTGTGTACACATCCTGCACATCTCCCTCCCCCAGATTCTGGCAGGCTGTTCGGTGAATTGGTTTGCACATTGCACTACTGTGCAAGAACCT